CCTCACCTTCATCCCTGTGCACACCTCCCTGTCTTGCCCCTCACCTTCATCCCTGTGCACACCAGCACACCCCTCATCAGTTTGAGGCGGGCGCCGTGCGTATAACTGAGTTACCGCTCAGAATTTCGCGCGACAAGCAAGGCTTCAGTAAATCCTAGCCTCAACTTCAACGCCTTCACCACGGTCTTCAAAATAAGAAGAAAAATTTTTATTCAGTAATTGATATTTAATTTCGTGGCTAAAATGATACATGTTTAGACAAAATTTTAATAGGAGATTAAATTTGTCATGAATATCTAGAATTGTTCTTTTTACGTGTCATTTTACTAATTAAGACGCACGTGAATGTAGAATTTCAGTATTTCAAGCCATCGATATATCAGATAAACCGTGTTTTATATGTTCATGTGAAATCTGGCATTTTGAATCAAAAATCATGGCTATATTGGCCTTAATAGTTTCATCTCTTGCCTATAATATTTTTTCGACAATTCTCGCTTTCAAATTTGCTTGCTCTATAAAAAATTTGTCTATGACAAAGTATTTTTATTTTATATATACTGACTTGTGTTCGGCGAGTAATTCCCTCTTCAGAACGCCGCCCCTCACTCAGCCCTCGTTAACAATGGCTGGGTCTCCCTCATGTGCTTCTGCGTAATTTCCCTCAGCACGGACGTCTCAATAGCTTCCCTCGGTCGCACTGGAGTAGGACGCTCCCCTCACACTCCGCCATCTTAGGCTCACCGAGGGCACATGAGGGAGGCCGCGGCTGCTAACTTGAACTAATCAGAGCAAACGAAACGAAATTAGACAGTTTTATGAAGACAATACTTGCGGTGCAGTATTGTGTGTTAAGAACTCCATGATAATGCCTCAACTTATTATAAAACAATATATAATTGGATCTGTCCAGCTATATATCAAGATTAGGAATATATTCGACAATGAAATTGTCCACTAAAATCCACACAGAAAATTATTTAATTATTTCATGATACAATACAAATATTTTTACACTGAAAATTTTTGAAAATTTAAGTTCACATGGCGAATCTAAATGTATAATTTGGGTAATAAGTGTTATTTTTCTGTGCTGAATACTGAACAACGCAAGAAGCGAATATTTACAACGCGAGTAACGAAATCATGAGAAGTCGTAGTAGAGACGAAGGCCACAGCAGAGACGAAGGCCACAGCAGAGACGAAGGCCACAGCAGACACGAAGGCCACAGCAGAGACGAAGGCCACAGCAGAGACGAAGGCCACAGCAGAGACGAAGGCCACATCAGAGACGAAGGCCACAACAGAGACGAAGGCCACAGCAGAGACGAAGGCCACAACAGAGACGAAAGCCGCAGCAGAGACGAAGGCCGCAGCAGAGACGAAGGCCACAGCAGAGACGCAGGCCACAGCAGAGACGAAAGCCACAGCAGAGACGAAGGCCACAGCAAAGACGAAGGCCACAGCAGAGACGAAGGCCAGCGGCGCAGCACGCCAGGCGATCCTAATCCTGTTGATGGATGCAAATCGTCGTCTGTCTCTAAATGGCCGGCGCGCTGGACTCCTAAACCTTCCTTGCAGCGACCGCTGCAGCAGCAGCCTTCTCCTGCAGCTGTATATAGTTATATAGTCACAGCTGCTCTAAAGTATAGTTTATAACTGATGCAAAGTGAGCCTCCAGCTGCTCACTGCAGCTGGATAGATGCATATATTTATACATATGTATAGTGAAAAGGGGACAGCTGATCCTCATAGTTTATAGCTAAAAAAATGAGGCTTACAACCACTTCATATGTAGCAGTATTAGAGTCAGTATTAATGAAGAGTAATGTAATTGATTTCATCAAAGAACAACACGCATAATAACGAAGGTCGCGGTTGCCGCAAAGTTGTACTCGTTTCATATTGAACAGTACGTAGTTTACTTAGCATAATATTCATATAATAGCAGCATACTAAGACCTAAATGAAACTTTCTACATGAATGGTGCATCTGTGGAGTTTTAGTTTCGGAATTTAGATAATCAGATATTGGGAGCGGGAGGCTTGCAGCAACCGTGTACGAGAAATTTTAGACATGTAGCACCATAGAGAGGTTATAGCTGCACTATAGATTAGTAATTAGCTGCTTTATAGATAAAGCTGCAGCTGATCTAAAACATGTGCTCGAAGTGGAATTATTAAACTGAAAAATTCGTATATCTTCTGTTTGGTTTAGTCGATTATCAAATTTGTTTTTTAGTTATAGAGCATAGAATTTATTGAACATCAGCCAACGGAATATCAAACATGATGATATTACTGTACATATACGACGAATCTATCTACTGAGTAAAAATAGTGATTATTAAAATACGTGTTAATTCAGTTGAATATTTGAACTTTAACAATAAATATTTGAAGAGAAGAGAATGTTGACAGAAAATATTATCGCGAACGTGAACGAGTTTCAACGTTTTTGGTCTAATGGTAAATAAAAATTACTATAACATCCATGACGCTAAGGTCACCCAGGTTCGCCCGCCGTACTTGTAGTTACTCTTTGGACAAAATTAGAATATATATTTATCCTGTATTTCCCCTAACAACAATATTGACCAGGGCGCATGTGTATGAATAACGAATAACTAAACATCAACGATTCAAGAAGAAACGAACGATCCATTGAGAACGAACGCAGTGAAACAACTTTTGTATTCAGGCTCCACTCCACAAGACATGTTTTCTATCATTTTTTGCCGAAGACATCGCAAGAATTTCCGACGACACGCTTCTCTACACGCCGCGTACGTCCTCGCCTGCCGTTGAAAAATTGCTACAAGATCTTCAAAAGAAGAATTCGTGAATAACGGCTCAACGCTTAAAGATTTATGGATAAATCGAGCTCCAAAAGTCAAGATTTCTGGCAGAAGATTATTTGGAAGTAGATATAAGATATATCTTACTGAATGAATTGAAATAATTTTGTTTTAGAATTTGTACACGAACGGCAAAAGATTGAGCAGAATAAATTCACAGTCACAAAACTAAAAGTAAACAAGATGTAGTTTTTAACAACAGATTTGTATAATGAAATTCAAGCTTTGTGACAGAGCAATATGAGACTGCTTTTCATTCAGAAAAATATCTTCTGGTTTCAAATCTTCAATTATTTTTGCTTAAAATTTTCAGAAGATTCCTTTGAAGAATCACAAATTCGAACTCGGCGAGTTAAAACTCTCTATAGAGAAGAAAACTCTCTATAGAAGATTGGTAAGAAAAAAAACCTTCGAAATCCTTCAAAGCTTGCACTAAAATAGGCGCCAGAGGCAGGATCGAAACATAAAGTCTGGTATAGGCTTATAGTCCTCGAAAACATTCTCAAGAAAAATTACATCGTTAGGAAAGAACGAATCGCCGAGTTCTATCAGAAGCGAGGGAGCCTCGCATTTTACTGGAGCGATCTGTTGAAAATGGCTCGGCCGTAATGTTTCGAACTTGCAATTCTACAGAAAAGGGCCAAGACTTTCTCTCCTTATCAGAGAAGTTTGGGACGCTCAAGACAAAAGTTGACCAGATGGAAATGAGTCGGGCCCAGTTTAATGAAGCGAAGGGAATCTTTTTGCTTTTTCTTTCACAGATGTGGAGTTTGCCTCGCACAGAATTCATTTACTGAGGAAAACTTCTGGCATTTCTTTGAAACTCTTGGAAATGATGGCAAGGCTGGCACTGGCTTAGCGATGGCTTCGTAGGACGCGGGAAAATTTACGAAAAATTTTACAGCGGCGGAGAAATTTTCGGAACAAATGATGTAAGCGAAGCTTTCAGTAATTAACTAATTGTGAATCTATTCGCATGATGGAAGTGCATGGATTTTTTGTGGATTTCAGCAAATTGAACTTGACACTGGAGGATGAGAGTTAAATTTTCTACATGATGTTTTAGTTACCTGGTAAATAATTGTACATACAGCAAAATATATCATTAAAAAATTTTGTCTAAAAAAATTTGGTCTATTCCTTAAATTTGCATTTAAGGAATAGAATATTTTCAGTAATAATAAATCTACAATCTTCATTATTTATTCTTGATATATTTACTCCTGCTGGCCATTATTTGAGCAAAAAGGACATGAAATTAACTCACTGCTGTGCGAAGTGCAAAGTGAAGCGATTAAAAAAAAACAGATTTCCTAAAGATAAAAGCTCTTCTAAGAGTTTTTTATGCAGCAAATGCCAACGCCACATTCCACAATCATATATAATAATAATATAAGCGCGACACTAAATAAACTAAAGTGAAAAATATCTAAACGTTTCGCCACTTTCAAATCTTGGCAGTTTCGTATCCATAAAGTCTCTCATTTTAAATAACATTTGCCGGCTATCACAAGCACAATTCCCCTCAGAAACTCTCCCTGAACACTAAGAATGTCTTGCCAGGAATGCGAAGAAGCTGGGTGACTCAATCAAGATGCTTGCTGCCAAATGACGCGCTCGTATCATAGCAATTGCGCCGCCAGAATGGCCGATGTGGTCGCTCCTAGAATGTTGCGTACGTTGGAAATGTTTTGTATTATTAGTTTAGTTGTAGAAATGAAGTGAAGTCACAGTTATATCATTTTGGGAAATTTTCTGGTGATTACAAGCAATACAAGACATTACTTATGTACGCATATTCCAAATAGCAAGGCTACCAATTTTACCCGTTAATTCTTTTCTTGGAATTTTTTAGCTGTAAATTGTTTAATTATAGAGCAGAATTAATAACACTTTTTGGTCGAATGGCATTTCAGTTATCCCTCTGTGCACCTATAAGCGTTTTGAATACTGAAAATTTAGAGCTTATATATAAAAAAAATCTTCATTCACAATGCAAATTAATTATTAAATAAAATTCGATGAAGACGGTGAAATGATCACTAATAAACGAGACCGAAAAAATGGGTGCAAGCGAGAACTTTCTTTTGTAATTCCTGCTAATCTACCGAATGATCCATGCACTGCAACAGGCACTGCAGTTGAAAAGTAACTGGGTTCTTGGAGTGCAGTCTGCCTCAAACTGGTATAAAAAGATCCTTTTGATGAGCATGGGTCCATCTGACCAATGCATGACCAGCTTATGTATATGCAGTCTGAGCGAGTTATGCTTATGTTGCTTTCAATGCGCGACGGTTGAAGCCCGGCATGCATTTTACAGAAGGAGGGTGGGTGGGGGGTGGGCGAGAGCATGCAAAACACAAAGATTGGAGGTTCATTTGAAATCTGGATAAAAACGGCGAAAATAATTTCTGGAATTATTTCAGTTTATTTATCGTGATAAAAGAAGGAACAAGAGGGAAAAGTGAAGATGATTAAATAACTGGCAAATTGTTTGATCTGGATTATTGGTAATATTGCATGAGACAAATTTTACGTCTGAAAATATTACAAGAAATTGTGTTAGTTGATATATTATTGCAAACATTATCTGAGGGAAGCCCATAGTAAATGTTGAGAAATCTTTAGATATCAATGGTTAGATATGTAAAGTTTTATTACCCAAAATTTTCCAAAGTAATACTCAATCCAAATGCGTTTTCACCTCCGTGTATATATTGAAATATTGCATAGATTTTATTCATTTCGACATTGTAGTTATTAATTGAAACATTTTAACTCGGTTTGCGCTATGAATGATTATTATACTTTTTTTGATAGAAAACTATTTTTGGTTGCACATCTTCTCAATCACGTAGAGGTAACTTGGTAAAATTTGAACCTCAGCTGCAAAACCTGATCAAATGTACTTGCCATTGAATCTAACTAGGAAAACGATTAAGTCCAACCATATTCAATTCAATCCATACCGTAAACAAGTTTTAGTATTTCTAAAAACATTTTCATTACGAGCCGAACTAAGAAGTTTACTTAAATGTTAATTTTTTGCACTGATATAAAATATTTTCTAAATTTGTATTTATCTAGGTGAATAAAATGAATATGCAGAGTCTTTATACTAACTTCGACAGGATCACATTGAACGGACGTATATCTGATTGACCAGCGCGATACTTGAGACACTCAAGGCTCAATGGTCCGCATTTCGAAACCGGTTACTCCAGAACTGCTTTTCGGAACCGGTTGAGACATCGGTGTTGATAGTCAAGAAATTATTATTCGAGTTGATTGAGAAACGGAAAACCGGTTCGGTGACGCGCGACTTTGACGGCATTGTGAAAACATTGGTTGGCTTATCGGAGGCCACTGACTAATTAAATGAAATGAAATAAGATGATATATGTTAACGAATTGTATTAGTAACTTAATAAGTTT